TACGTACGTACGTACGTACGTAGTACGTAACGACGTACGTACGTACGACGTACGAAGACGAGAGAGAGAGAGAGAGAGAGAGAGAGAGNGGAGAAGAGAGAGAGAGAGAGCTTGATATACCTTCCAATAATTGGAACTGGAATGTGTACAGGATTCTGGTGTTGAAGGCGTGGAGAGAAAAATATGGAGTTGTGTACTGCATACTTTTCCACTGCTTTGCCCCTGCCCAGGTCTTGTTACATGCTACTGCTACTGCTACAAAGATGCGAGTATGATTAAATCTTGGTATGGTAAAATGTTTACACCCTTGTTGATTGGGCTTCGACGTGTAACATAGGGTTCTTCCATGGCCAGCAACTAATGTAACTGCAATATTTTGGTAAACCCGGTAAATCCAATATTTGGCATTGGTTTGGTTTTGGTCCAAAAGACTCGTCTACAAAATATATAAGAGAAGGAAAAGAGTACCATAGTAATTGGTGAGTGAAAAGATTTGATCGGATGGGTTGGCTGAAAAACCAGATATAGAAAAAAAGAAAAGTTAATGGGTTAAGTTGTGCATAATGTGTAAAGGAAGGTCAGGTAGTTAATTATTTTTATTCAGGTGAATATTAGTATTCAAAAAATAAATTGGTGGATCATCTACTCATTGATCCTATTCTAGATGATTCGGATAAGTGATATGGCAAAATAAAAAAAAGAAAGGGAGGAGAAAAAAGGGTTATTTGTACCTTTCGTGATCGATTTATGCCAATGTCAATGCATTGGATCTTTTATTTATCAGACTTCTATCCCAATCAAATTGGTGCATTCATATAGTCTCACCTCAGTAGCAGCTAATCCGGTTGATCCCGTATGGGCAGAGATGGGGACAAAAGAAGCGGGGCAAAGCCTATACTGTTAGGTCTTTTGCTGCACTGTATCCTCCTTTCCACTTCCCCGAATGGTTCTCGGTTGGAACTTTCTTTTTCCAACGTTGAACTTTTAGAAGAAAAAAAAAACGAAAAAAAAATAGTATAAAATGGCATGCTGAGTTCGAACCTAGGACTTAATATTGAACATAAGAAAAAAGAAAAAATAAAGAGATGCTGGTGTTTGGTGTTTGGGTATAGGACTGAAAGATTCACAAATGCATGTGATCGTTGTCCAGGGACTGAAAGATTCACAAATGCATTCGATAGTTGTTATGCTTGCTAATTTTTTTGGCAATGGTGCACAAGATGGTTACAATTTCTTTTGAAGTTTGTACTTGGTCAATGGAATAAATGCAATAATCCAATTCACATTTAATGGTCAAGATTAATTGCGACCACTTTGTACTAAAGGTGGATGGCCTCGTTGTATATTTTTCTTTTATATGTCACTAGCAAAAATACACTTGCTGCATGTGGTTTATGATGATGTAAAATGAAATGAGAGATGATACTATTGCATTTGACAAAACGTGCATTTTAGTGCTACGTAGAACCCGATTTGGAGTGATAAAAAAAAAATCATGTATTGGGAGAAAATGACATCTTTAATATATATATATTTTTTGACAGAAATCAGAGATTATATTAAAGATCTAAAAAGAAATTACAGAGTCGGAGATTAAAGTCTTAGATACAAAGGCCTCCCTTTTTGCAAGAAAATCTGTTAGTCCATTAGCTTATTTATAAACATGCACAAAGGACGATCTCAACTCCTAAGGAGACTTTTGCTTCCTCTTCAATGATACAGTAATGACCCAGATTCCTAGCCACCAAAAATTTTAAACCATGAAGAAGTGCATAAAGTTCTACGTAATTAGCAGTTCTTCACTAAGAGGACCAACATAAGTAAAGAAATACTACCATTCCAATCTCTAACCACACCTTCAAATCCCACCAGCCCAGGATTCCCTAATGAATTGCCATCAAAGTTGAGCTTAAAAACCTCCATCAAAGGCGCAACCCATCTTTCTTTAGGCCTGCATTTAATGAAACCCATGTGAAAAAGATTTGGTAGATTTCTCCTCACATCCACTTCTGAAATGTCATGTCCTCATTTTGTCACAGAAAGATAAACCCAAATTGAATGCAAAATCTTGTCCATAATTTTCTCAAAAGTTTGACTTGTCCCATCAAAAGTTCTTCTATTCCTCTCCTTCCACACCTCCCACAAGATCACGCCTCTCGTGATTTTCCGTATTATCAAACCTAATTGAGGTAAAAAAGGAAGTAACAAATTTGAAAGTAGACCCTCAACCTTTGACGACATAACCATTGCAACTCCAAGCTGACAAAAAAACCAACTCCAGATTCTAGAAGTGAATGGACAATGGAGAAATAAATGAGCACGTGTTTCACCATCCTCCTTACACAACAAACATACATTTGGCATGATCTTTTCCCTCTTGATGAGATTATCAACTGTCAGAATCTGGTTTTGAATTGCCAGCCATAGAAAACCTTGAACTTTAAGAGGTAAAGGTCATTTCCAGACCACAGCAACTTCAGGCATGGTCCACCTCTATCGATTATGAAACAGTAATTGGTACATCGACTTAACCGAATAGTCTCCATCTTTGTCAATATCCCACACTACCTGATTAGCAACATTGTGAGAAATGTAAACTTCATTAAGTAGCATCAATAAGTCAAAGAATTCAGCAAAGAGAGAGTCTGAAATCCTATTGTATGGAAGATTAATATTTCATACTATTTGGTTTTCCATGTGTTCGAAAAAGTCAGAGACAAGCGCATTGGGATTGGCCATCATCTGAAATACAAGAGGAAACATACATTTCAAGGGTGAAGACCCTGACCATTTGTGATGCCAAAAAGAGATATTGTGTCCGTCTCTTAGAGACCACTGAATGTCCCTGTGAATGAGAGATCTACAAGAATGAATAGATCTCCAACAATAAGACATCTCCATAGTACCATTCCTCAATCCAACCCACATTTCAAACTTATTCACTTCATACTTTGCAGCGATCACTTTGTACCACAAATGGTCTTTGAAATGTAAGCTCCTCCACCACCACTTACATAGCAAAGCCTGATTGAAAAGTTTGACTCTCCTTATTCCTAGACCTCCTTCACTCTTGGGTGTGCACACCCTATCCCATCGTAACCGATGAAATTTCATAGAATCTGTAGAAGAACCCCACAAGAAGTTTCTCATTAATGTTTCGATTTTCCTGGCAACCGACGAGGGGATCTGCAAAATGGACATATGATAAATAGGTAAATTTGACAGGCACACCTTGACCAGAGTTATCCTTCCCCCAAGGAAAGGTATTTCAATTTCCACAGATCAAGCTTCACTTGAATCTATTGGATGATTTTGTCCCAAACAGCAATCGAGAGTCGACTGTTCGAAATAGGCATCCCCAAACAAGTGATGGGGAAGTTCTCCACTTTACACCCCAACATCTCTTCCATTTCCTAAATTAAAGCATCACTACAATTAATACCAACTATTGTTGTTTTATCAAAATTAACTATAAGCCCTAACACAACTTCACATCATCTCAAAAAGGTAGCAATATTGTTAACCTGGCCAACCTCAGCCTCACAGAACAACAAGGTATCATCTGCATATTGCAGATGGGAAATGTAGGGGCCTCCATTTTCCATTTGAAAACCCTTAAAATGACTACTCCTTTCAACATTTCTCACAAGCAAATTGAAACATTCTGCATAAATAGTAAATAAGAAAGGAGAAAGAGGGTCACCTTGATGAAAACCCCGGGATGCCTTGAAGAAGCCAGTAGGGCTACCTTTGTATAGAATAGTAAAGTGAGCAGAGGATAAACATCCAGAGATCCACTTTCTCCACAACTCCCTAAACCCCATATTCTTCATGATTTCGAGCAAAACAGTCCACTCTACCCTGTCATAAGCCTTTTCCATATCCTGTTTAATGACCCCCCAACACTCCCACTCAACTTTAGAATGAATACACTCCTGTGCCACCATTACACTGTTTGAAATCAATCTATCTTTAATAAAAGATGACTGGGGAAATGAGATAATAGCTGGTAATGCCCCTTTTAAACGTTCTGCTAGAACCTTCGCCATAATTTTATTAAGGCTAGTCAAAAGACTAATGGGTCTAATGTCACCAAGAGTAGATTTTTTAGGAATCAGTGTGATATAGGTGCAGTTAACCCCTCTGAAAAGTTCATCTCTCCTAAGAAACCCCCTGGTCATTTCCAGCAGTTCACTATAAATCAAATTCCAAAACTTATGAAAGAAGATTAAAGGGAAGCCATGAGGACCAGGTGCCTTATCGCTTGGCAATGAAAGAATCATACTTTTTAATTCCTCCATAGAAACATCTAATTCTAGGAAAGACCTTGAATATGATGGTACAACCTTAAACTCCACCCTAGTTAAATGAGGAATATGCTTCACCTTAGAGGTGAAAGCTTTTTGAAAATGATTATTTGAAAATGATTAACAATGGCATTAGACATACCACGACAATCCTCAACATTGACTCCTTGAATCACCAAATCATGGGGGTATGATTAGAGGACAACCAAGGCAAGGCTTTGACAGAGGCCAACGGAAAGAATTTCGATCACTCAACACTTATCAATTTTGGACATTAATAGATTCGATGTACTACCATTGGTCCAAGTAAATATTGCACCAGAGATCAGCAGATCTAACAGAGCATGGGCTCTATAAATCTGTTAAAGAGACACATAGAAGACGTAATAGCCCCACCATGACTGCTCTCATCTGGTCATCGAATAAAGTGAAAATCTACCCCCCCCCCCCCCAGAGCAAATTGGATAAGCAAAATTAAGAATAAAATATGACATCTCACTAATAAATTTTTTTTTAAAGCAAAACTTTGAGGTCCACAAACATTCTTTAATCCCTACTGGAAATCAGAATCTGGCCCCACAAAACCTACCACCAAAAAATTGTCTTTTATAGCAAAACTAAAAGAGAGCAGAACTGTTGGATTCCACAGAATCCACAAACCCCTAAAAGCTCCAACAGAGTCAATCCCCATAAAGTCTACTGCCCCAGGACCCCACACTTCCCTAACTCTAGATAAACTAGGACTTGGAAGTTTGGTTTCCTAAAGGATTAGGATAGTAGGCTTAAATTTAGAGGTAAAAAAACAAACGTCTTTTTCCCTTTTGAGGTCACCTAGACCTTGTACATTCCAAGAGAGAATAAATATTAGAAAGAATTAGAGGAGGAAGAACTAGGTCCATCCCTACTCTCACCAAAAAAATGCTTCTTCCAAGAGCAAGGCTTCGTCCATGGCTTCATCAAAAGCGTCCTCCAAAGCCATCAACAAAGGAGAGGAGCTAATCTCAATAACCTGTTCATCATGGATGATGACCCCAGTGGCAGCACCAGGGTGGTGCGAGCCACAAGCCAGCAACCTTGCAGACGACCGTGTACCCTTCGTAGGACTTTTACCATTATTTTTATTCTTGCCCTCTTCCTTTGCAGGAGACTGATAGGGCTTGTCATTCCCAACATCTGGATTCATCTTTTTGCTTACCTTCTTCTTCTCCAAAATGTCTTTGAATACCACCCCAATTGGAACATTGAAAGCCATACCACTATCAAAGACGATAGAGGTAACAATATCCTCTGCTTTATCTTCCTGAGCCCCAACTATTGGATTCACAAGAGCGTTTATCCTCAAGGACAACCCTCTCTCCTGTTTTAACAGCCACCATATGAATGAGCAAAGGTCTCTCCTCATTATGGATGACGTTAAGAGGAGAAGAGGTCTCAGCTTCCACCAAAGCTAAATCAGAGACTTGCAGCAGGGAGTCCTTAGCATGCTCCTTTTGCTTACCATTCACCCCCACTCTTGAAGTATTCTCTCCATCCTCTAAAATGACCTGCTCTTGAGCCTCATCAACCAACACAATTGCCAGAGGGTTGAGTTTTGAGGGATCTACGGACGAGCACTGAGAAGGTCGACCCTTCATGGTTGTACGCCTATGCATCAATGGATACATCTTGCTTAGCACAACAAATACAAACTGGAGGGCCACTTTTGAGCGCAGATGATGTCCAGTAGAGACAACAATGAAGGTCAACAAAAACCAACAAAGTTTTTGAAAAGCCTCTTCCACCGCCTTCAAAGAAGTAGCCTAGAGATTTGGAAAGGTTGATAGCTTTGGGAAGAAAGGACCCCCACCCAGTCGATTCAGCGAGCCCACGTAAGTACCCTCCACATTGCATCCCTTCATCATCACACATTTCATAAAGTGGGTCGCAAATCCCACCTGCAGCGAGCAGTCTTCGGTTTCTGGATTTTGCAAAAGTACATTCGCAGTGGAGGCCTCGCTGTATTTTTCATGTTCAACGGAGGCCTCGCTGTATTTTTTAGGAATCGTCCCACAAGTATTCAGCGTTTTTTAATTTTGAAAATTTGAACTTCCTTCTTCCCTGCCCTGAAAAACTGAGGGTCATTCTTCGCTGGAGAATTAGCTTTTTTCACCGGAAAAGATACACCGGAATTAAACCTCGGTTGACATCCCCCCACCTTCTACCATCCTTCATCGTTCACCAATGGGGTCGTAGCAGTCTTCCCCACCGATGGACCCACATTGACAACTTTGGGCTTAACAGAGACCTGGATGAAAAATGTTTCTTGACCCACTTGCAAAATTCCCCACACAAATTAGCCAGTTTATGAAATGTGATCAACGACCAAGCATGGGAAGGAAGACCTAATAATCTGATCCACTGACTTTCATTCCGCAAATAAGAAACATGGGACGATGATTTCCAAAGGTCAAGAGACATAAGCTTACCTCTACCTCTCACAAAGCGATTTTTCAATGGCAAGACAACATCGTCCTTATTTTGTAGAAAGAACACAATCTTGTTCTCTCCCATTATTCTAACCTTTGGAGCATAAGACAGACCTCAACCCCTTCTAGCCCAGCCACTATGACCAAAGATCTCATTTGAGGGTGGAGAAAAGGAGCCCACTACTGGAAAACTTGTGCCTGAAAGTAAACCACCTGATAAATCATACCTGATAGACACTGTAGGAACCTGAATGTTGCCATCAAAGCATGCTTCTTCCCTACTCTCCATTTTCTCTGTTTAGTTAATCTATAGCCTGAATAAAGTCTGAAATTGAGGTTTTGGATCCAAACCGATTAAATTATCAACAATACTCATACTATGTGTCCCTATTCAACGCACACCCTCTCATACACTCTCTTCCCCCAAACCCTAACCCTCTCTTCACCCTTCGTCTCCATCCTCTCTCATCATCTCCGTGTTACTCCAACATTCTCTCTCTACATTATCTCAAAATCCATACCATTAACATTATTGAAAGCCTGTCCATGCTCAAAGTTCGCAATTCACAAGAGTGATGAAATGAAAATCATGGTGGGCATTTACTTTTTTTCTTTTTTTTTGGTCAGTACAGCAAGATTTCTCTTTCTACAATCCAAAGTTACAAACCCTAAACCCTAGCTTCACACTTTGAATACCAGAAGCTAACTCCAATGTCCTTTCACTCCAAAACCCTAATCTCTTAAAAAATCTCACAACCTTAATTTCCCCATTTCACAGTGAAAGAAAACCTACGCTTAAACCCTAATCCTACTCCTACTCTTTACTTTAAGAGATTTCCTGGACTTCCTTAATTCATATCTCCATCTCTCCCCACAAGTCCGTCTCTCGCTCAACTTTCATGTCTAGTGCATCGTAGCACAGATCTTGTCCTTTGGCTAAGAATAGTGAAATTTCCACTCGTTTTTTTTTTTTTGCTTTTGTTTTTGTGTCTCTCTAACATAAATTATTTCAGAAGACATCTTTAGTATTGAAATGGGGTAGAAATCAAAGATGCAAAGAAGAAACAATTGTGATGTGGAGAGAGAAAGAGGCATGGTGTAGGATGCTAATGAAGTAGCTCACATCTGAGAAGATGTTGTAGAGGAGATGATGTCTATGCCTCTGATTACGATAGAAGATAAACTTCGGGAGGATGGGTTCAAGTAGGCCAAAACCTGTATGGTTGACTCTTTTTTTCGACCCTCTAATGATATTTTCGGTCTTGGAGATTGGGCCAAAAGAGGGTGGACCCTGAGTTATATCCCGGAGGTTAGGATTATAAGATATAATAAAGGGAAAATATCTCATTATCCCTTATTTTTAACTTTCATATTTCATGAGATCCAAGAATTGAAAATATTACTTGTAAGCAAAATGTCTCCATCTTTTCTATCTTACAACCCCTTGGACCCCTTTGACCATAAATTTTTAACCCAAACAAACACTAAAATGACACCCTATTCAAACTTCATCTCTCTCTCGAAAACTCCATCTCTCTCTCTCTACGCTTCTCGGTGAGTTTACTAACTAGCCAAGGGGTTTAGCTTGAGCTTGAACACGAGCACACCTTCTTATGTGTAAGAGAGAGATGGTATTTTAGAGAAAGAGAGATGGAGTTTGGGTTTTAGAGAGAGATGGAGTTTTAGAGAGAGATGGAGTTAGATTTTTATGAAGAGAGATGGAGTTCTAAGAGAGAGAGACGATGATATAAGAGAGATGGAGATTGGGTTTTAGAGAGAGAGAGTTTTGGGAGATAGAGACGATGATGTGAGAGAGATATGGAGTTTTAGAGAGAGATAGATAGATAGAGTCATGTTATAAGTTGTTGAGGTCAATAATACATGGTCAAAAGGGTTTAGGGGGTTAGAAGATATAAACGATGGAGTCCATTTGCTTACAAGTAATATATTTAATTATTGGGTTTGATGGGATATAGAAGTTAAAAATACGGGATAATAGGATATTTTCCCTATAATAAAATGGTTGTCTTGGAGGTTAGGATTATAGGATATAATAAAGTGGTTATCTGGAGGTTTGTTGTACTCTGTGAGATAGATTTCTCAGGGTCCGAAGCAATGGTTTAAAAAATGGATCGGTGCCTCGGATCGGGCACCCTAAAAACCCACCCAGATCAG